AATCCGCCTGCTAATGCAGGGGACACGGGTTCGAGCCCTGGTCCGGGAAGATCCCACATGCTGCGGAACAACTAAGCCTATGCGCCACAACTACTGGGCCTGCGTTCTAGAGCCCACGAGCCACAACTACTAAAGCCCACGCGCCTAGAGCCCGTGCTCCGCAACAAGAGAAGCCACCACAATGAGAAGCCCACGCACCACAACAGAGTAGCCCCTGCTCACTGCAACAAGAGAAATCCCGTGCACAGCAATGAAGACCCAACGCAGCCAAAAATAAATAAATAAATTTTTAAAACGGTAACTCTGAATCACCTTGTCATTCTGAAATTCTGAAAATGCTAACAAGAAATGGCCTTTAAGACTAAGTTAAGACTTTGTATCAAATATATTACAAGTATTTGATACCATGTGATTTTTTTCTCTCCAAAGTAAAAGTGGCATTAATAAATAAAGCACCAGGAAATTAAGACCATGAAATTTGTATTCCCAAGAGCAAAAAAGGTAAAAATAATGGCTCTTTTTTCTGAAACAGATATAAACCAAAATTAACAAATCGTGGCACTTTATCTATTCTGCAAAACCATTCTGTTTTTCTGTAGACAAAGCACTGCAATTATTGCCAAGAATGAGAAAGAACTCTTGTACCAGGAATGTCGGCTGTGTGAGTTAGCACAGCACTCCTGGGATGTAAGGCAATCTCCAGAGTGGAGCAGGGTGCTATGTGGGCAGCCCTGTGGGCAGAGGGAACTTCCCTGTGACCACCTGACTGAGCTCTGTGCTTTATACCAGGACTGAGGTTCAGCTGCACTTTCAAATACGATAACCAACAACATTACTTCACATATGTTAAAGCCCACTTTCGGGAGATGAAGAAATACATGTATTAGGTTTTATATGATGCTCCTGTAAAAATACCCACTTCTATGAACTCTGTGAATTCTCTATCTAAAGATACAAAAATCTAACATAAGGTACCAGGCATTAAAAAAAAATTCTTAGCAGAGTCTTATAAAAGCACAATTAGGGGCTTCCCTGGTTGGCGCAGTGGTTGGAAGTCCGCCTGCCGATGCGGGGAATGCGGGTTCGTGCCCTAGTTCGGGAGGGTCCCGCGTGCCGCGGGGCGACTGGGCCCGTGGGCCGTGGCCGCTGGGCCTGCGCATCCGGAGCCTGTGCTCCACGATGGGAGGGGCTGTGGCAGTGGGAGGCCCATGTACCGCAAAAAAAAAAAAAAAAAGCATGATTAAAATCTTAAAAATTTTATTTCACACCTGACGTAATAAAACCAGAAACATGGTATGGAGTAAAATTAATACAAATGTTTATAATTGAAGGTAACAGAAAAGAATACATGGCATGATTCCAGTTATCTCAAGTTCAAAATAGGCAAAACTAAAATTTAGGGTTTAGGAATGCATACTGTGTGGTAAAACACAGAAAAGTGGGGGAGCAACCCCCATCAAGTCAGGAGAGGGGTGACAGGGTGAGGGAGTAGGAAGGCTGACCTATGGTTGCTGGAGACTGGCACTGCCCCCCACCCAGACCTGGGTATTTGCTTCATCATCAATCATTTTGGCTGTTCATATTTTTCAAGCATTTCTTAGCAAGTATTTTATTTCACAGTTAAAAAAAAAAATTTAAGTATTATAAGGGAAAACGTCACTTGCTGCTGAGCGGTCAGTTAAGACAGGACTGAGGGGAATTCCCTGGTGGTCCAGCACTTTCACTGCCGAGGGCACAGGTTCAATCCCTGGTTGGGGAACTAAGATCCCACAAGCTACACAGCATGGCCAAAAGAAAAAGAAAAAGAAAAAAAAAGATAGAGGTAGGATCTGGGGTGACTCAGTAAGGGCCAATTCAGGGGAGTGACAGCAGCAGAAGTAAACTCTTGGGTCGTGGAGGTGAAGGAAGACACCAGAGAGCAAGACAGCCAGAAGAACTTGTCCTGGAGGGGTTTATAATCTGGTGATTCACAGAGAAGGAATTCTTTTTTTTTTTTAATGATTGTTCCTATTTTTTTTAAATTAATTTATTAATTAATTTATTTTTGGCTGTGTTGGGTCTTCGTTTCTGTGCGAGGGCTTTCTCTAGTTGCGGCAAGCGAGGGCCACTCTTCATTGCAGTGCGCAGGCCTTTCACTGTTGCGGCCTCTTTTTGCTGCGGGGCACAGGCTCCAGATGCGCAGGCTCAGTAGTTGTGGCTCACGGGCCTAGTTGCTCAGCGGCATGTGGGATGTTCCCGGACCAGGGCTCGAACCTGTGACCCCTGCATTGGCAGGCAGATTCTTAACCACTGCGCCACCAGGGAAGCCCAAGAAGGAATTCTTGAGTGAGAAGCATTAGATGGTCTCAAAGGAACCAGTAACTCAAGATCCTGAGAGATTTTCAATGCAAGCTATCTCATCACACTTGCAAAACCAATTTCCTTAGAAGGCATAATGCCACATATTAAATCAGGATTAAGGCTGTCAAGTATAGGGACAGCAAGTTGGAGCCAACAATGTTCACAGTGGTCAACATACACTTTTCAGGCAAGTCTGTGAGGGGACAGGAAGGCCATTTCAAAGCCCACTTATAGGGCACAAATGCATAAATTATTTATTATTAAAAATCAAGAGACTTCCCAGCAGTCCAGTGGTTAGGACTTTGCCTTCAATGCAGGAGGTGCGGGTTCGATCCCTGGTCGGGGGGCCAATATCCTGCATGCCTCTCAGCCAAAAAACCAAAACATAACACAAAAGCAGTACTGTAACAAATTCAATAAAGACTTTAAGAAAATGGTCCACATCAAAAAAATCTTAAAAAAAAAGAAATCAGTATGAGTCCACTTATGTGAGATACCTGGAGTCAGATTCATAGACATAGAAAGTAGAGTGATTACCAAGGGCTGGGGGAGGGGGAGAGGGAGTTAGTGTTTAATGGGGACAGAATTTCAGTTTGGGAAGATGGAAAAGTTCTGGAGATGGACGGTGGTGACGGCTGCACAGCACTGTGAATGTACTTAATGCTACTGAACTGTACACTTAAACATGGTTTACATGGCAAATTTTGTTATTTTTCTTACCACACAAAAAAAGAGATGTAAAACTACATTTATTGACATAGAACTATGTCCATAACCTATTGTCAAGTGAAAAAAAGCAGGATACAAATGATCACAAGGTGAGATTTGAACTTCGCTAGAACGGGTGCATCTTACAGCAAGAGGCTTACAACTCTTGCCTGCAGGGCAGCAGGGCTGACATACGGGTCACTGCCTGGGCTCATGCAAACCTGTCACCCAGTTAGCTAAACAACTGTCACTCCTCAACATTTCTATCAAACAATCCATTTAATGATCAATCAAGGAAGGAACAGGGATCTCAGTTTTTGAGCCCTGCTCATAAGCACTCTAGCACCAGCACCTGCAGAACAGCTGTCGGCAGCTGGCACACTGACCCTCCTGAGGTGGCAGACAGTGACCCCTTCAGTAAGCATGACGTTGACAGCTGAGTCAAAAAAAAGGTTCAGGAGGGCTGGACTCTGAATATGAGTTCATAGGGAGAGCCTACCCAATTAATTTCAATTGGATTTTCCTCCTTACAAATACATAATACATGATTAAAATACATTATTTTCCAAATCAGTCTAAAAAAGCACTTTACATATAAAATAAAATGCTACAAGTAGGTGTGACAGCGTTTTTCTCTTTCTTACTGATACATAAATGTTTCTCCCTGGGCTTCCCTGGTGGCGCAGTGGTTTAGAATCCGTCTGCCAACGCAGGTGACACGGGTTCGAGCCCTGGTCCGGGAAGATCCCACATGCCGCGGAGCAACTAAGCCGGTGCACCACAACTACTGAGCCTGCGCTCTAGAGCCCGCGAGCCACAACTACTGAAGCCCACGCACCTAGAGCCCGTGCTCTGCAAGAAGAGAAGCCACAGCAATGAGAAGACTGCGCACCACAACAAAGAGTAGCCCCTGCTCGCCGCAACTAGAGAAAGCCCGCGCGCAGCAACAAAGACCCAACAGAGCCAAAAATGAATTAATTAATTTTTTAAAAAATAAATAAGTAAATGTTTCTCCTTAAACTCAGTCAGATTTGATGAAAATACAGCAGTAGTATAGTACGATCCCATTTTGGTGAAAGTATGTGTACATGCACATGCAAAGAGGTATGTGTGTGTGTGTCTGTGTGTCTGCACGTGTGTACACATAAAGACGTTACATTAACAGTTATTTCTGGCTAATAAAATCTTGAGTTATTCTTACTTCTTTATACTTTCCTGTATTGTTTTTGAGCCTTTTATAATTAATCCATATTATTTGTATAATCAGAGAAAACGATTTTCACTTGAGGGGAAACATTACTTCAGAGTAATAAATATGTTTGTTTTTGAGTATTCCCAAGAAAATTTCTCCTAAACAATGACTACCGTGTTGATGATGGCTTCAGCGATTAATCAGTCAACACTAAACTGTACCTCCCTGACTCCACCCACATCCAATGACAGCTATTGTGTCTATATTCCCTATGCAAGACAACAATTAACTACCAGAGGAAACACCAGGATTTTAGGAATACTTCTGAAGCAAATAAAAGTCAGAACTACAATCCTGACTTTTTAGGTTTCTCTGAAATCATCTGAATTTAACCTGTCCAACAACTCTACATTTGATGCCAAGCACAAAAGTCTCAAGTTAAAAACAAAATAAAATTATATCTCTACATGACTACTAGATTTTTTTTTTTTTTAAGGTTTTTTTTTTTGGGCACACTGCACAGCATGCGGGATCTTAGTTCCCCAACCAGGGATCAAACCCGTAACCTGTGCCCCCTGCAGTGGAAGCGCGGAGGCTTAATCACTGGACCACCAGGGAAGTCCCCGGGTTACTACAGACTTAAGTTTAAGAAATTTCTGTATCACAGAGACTCAGAAAAGTAAAAAACAACTGTATGCAGTCCTCTTACATCTCATGTTTATCCCCAGAACTGTCCAAGCAATAGCTACATAATGCTTAATCTTTGTCTCAGACAATCTCTCAAGAATCAAGCATTTAGTGTACCCCAGCACCATCTCCAGGAGCGAGCTGACAATGGTCAGCTGTTACTAAAAAAGCAAAGAGTAAGATATTAAAAAGTCCTTAAAGACACAGAGATTCTCTTCTCTGCTGTCTATTGCACCTGATTTTTTCCTTTTATTCTTGTAAATATGGTCACTTAAGCAGCACTGTTGGAATCAGGATAGCAACTACCTTTCAGAAGCCAAACTTCCCAGGTAAGTGCTGTGGCTTCCCTAACAGAACACAGTGTGATCCTCAGCAAATCTCTTTATTCCCTGGACTTCAGTTTCCACCTTTGTGAAAATAAAAAGATCAGACTACATGACACCTAAGATTCCCTCTGGCTCTAACAGTCTGTGACCTGACAATTTTTTTTGTTTATGAGCAGTGAAAAATGATATTTTTAATCATTACAAAGGTAATAGCTGCCTGCAACAAATTCAAATAGTAAAGAATGTATAAAGTAGAGGCTGGCAAACTTTTTCTGTAAAGGGCCATACAGTCTGTCACAACTACTCAGCTCTGCTGCTGGAGCTCAAAAGCAGTCAGACAGTGCATAAACCAATGAGTGTGGCTGTGTTCCAATGAAAACAGGCAGCCAGCCACGAGCCATGCTTTGCCTACCTCTGGTACGAAGTATAAAGCAAAAGCCACTCTCCTTACTTTGGCCTCCCCTCCTGGGGTTGCCCCTTTTAGGTCTGGCTTGTGCTCTTTCAAACCATATTCTCACACAACAATTTGTGTATGTGGTTTTAATTTTTTAAGAACAAAGTGGGATCATTCTATACATGTTAGCAATTCCCCTTTGATGGACAATTCAAGTTTCTCATTCTCTGATTTTTCACTCATAAATATTCCTCTTGTGAAATCCTTTCACACTGACCTTTGGGCCCCTGGTCCTGCAATGGTTAGCAGTGGTCAGCTGTGACACGTCTGATCCTGTATCAGTCCCACCAATCATGACAGAGAAAAGCAATACAAGAGACTGAACTTGGGAGGGGGCGGACTCAGGAAATGAGGAAAAGAGAAAAGGTATACAACAGGAAGGGAATAACAGTAGAGGATGAAAAAAGGTCAATACCCAAGCCACAAGTACCTTTTTCAAAAATGTTGCAGCTGTTTCTCTCTTTGTTGCTGTGATCCGCTTCACCCCATCTGGGGACTGAACACGAATTATCTGTGGTAAATGAAACAACTTGGTTACTGCACAGATTAGGAAGGTCCTGACCTATTACTGAAACTAACCTCTGCAGTCTTTCAGCATTTGGGTCACCGAAACTTAGAGCCAAACCTCACCCTTCCCCTTGCCAACACCCAACCCAATGTTTCTAGAAAATGAAGCAGAGGTCTGAGAGACATCAGCTCATGGGAGGACATCCTAAGAGGACTGCCCTAATTCTCAACTCTCACCGTTTCACTCAGAAAAATGCGACTTCAATTTTTAACCATTATTTATAAAGAATATACCTGAAACACTAACATTTTTCTCTTCTGATTTACAAAAAAAAATTTTTTTTTTTTAATCAGCAGGA